AAAGTCATAGAAATCTATCACAGGCAGCCAGGCGCGGTGGCTCAAGCCTGTAATCCCAGCACTTTGGGAGGCCAAGGTGGGTGGATCAAGAGGTCAAGAGATCGAGACCATCCAGGTCAACATGGTGAAACCCCATCTCTACTAAAAATACAAAAAATTAGCTGGGCATGGTGGTGCGTGCCTGTAATCCCAGCTACTCAGGAGGCTGAGGTGGGAGAATTGCCTGAACCCAGGAGGCGGAGGTTGCAGTGAGCTGACATTGAGCCATTGCACTCCAGCCTGGGAAACAAGAGCGAAACTCTGTCTCAAAAAAAGACCCAGATTTGGAGCTCTGGGTCTCCAAAAATGGAGAATTATTATGAGGTTAGACACATGATGCTATTACAGTGCACTTAAAAATTTTTTTTAAAACAAAGACATTTCTAAGTTTCTAAAACACATTCTTAAAAACCCACGAATGACCTCTGTTGCAATAACTATTGTAGTCAAAAAGCAACAACAGAACGGCACAATACAAAAGAAAAGTAAGGAACTTAAGAGCTGAGATGAACTCGTCTGTTTACATTCTGGGCGGTTCATGAGAAAAAAACAACTTTCCACCCAAAAAGAGTCTGGTGCCTTCTCCGTTTTCTTAAAGGAACCCCAGGCTGTCATAAATTATTTTAGTTCCCCCGTGCAGTAGAGGGTGCAAGAGAAAGGGGAGACAGCAGAAGTAAGTGAAGAAACAGAATTCAGTCAACTGAGAAGAAAAAAACTTGTGCTCAGAAAAAGACAAGGTCTTAGGAGAAAACCAAAAACAAAACACGAAGGCCTTTTAAATGTAAACACACATATATGCGCATGTGTGCACATGCACACTCACACACATGCGCGCACAGGCGCGTGTGCACACACACACATGCATGCGCGCACACAGGCGCATGTGCACATGCACACATGAATGCGCGCACACAGGCGCGTGTGCACACGCACACATGCATGCACGCACATAGGCGTGTGCACACGCACACACACATGCATGCGCACACACAGGCGCATGTGCACATGCACACTCACATGCATGCCGCACACAGGCGCGTGTGCACACGCACACTCGCATGCGCGCACACAGGCGCGTGTGCACACACTCATATGCATGTGCGCACACAGGCGCGTGTGTACACGCACACTCACATGCATGTGCGCACACAGGCGTGTGCACACGCACACTCACACATACATGCGCGCACACAGGCGCGTGTGCACACACACATGCATGCCACACACAGGCGTGTGCACACGCACACTCACATGCATGCCGCACACAGGCGTGTGTGCACACACACACACGCACGCACACAGGCGCGTGTGCACACGCACACACATGCATGCACGCACACAGGCGCGTGTGCACACACTCATGCATGCCGCACACAGGCGCGTGTGCACACACACACATGCATGCCGCACACAGGCGCGTGTGCACACACAGGCACGCACGCACACCCCTTGGATGTTAGCTTTTAATTAAGCTGACTTTTAACCACTGAGCTTCTTTAAAAATATATTTTTAAATCTCATTCTGTATCAACTCGGACAGACTGCTGCTACTTCGGAAGTGCAGTCGTTACTCTCGCGGTTTGGTCTGGCTAGTGAAAACGGGGCCACGTTGCATAAATGAAGCCCCGGCAGTCAAAATCCAAATCTTTCCTCTTTTTTCCTTTCGATGGCCATTTTTCTCCTCCCATCAGGGAATTTAGCCACGTCAGAGGCTTCGTTCCCCATAATTTGGAACTTCCTTCGGATTTGACCAAGTCAGAGAGTTCAATGGGAAAAAGACCAAAACAGAAACAACAAAAAAACCAGCTCAGCAAAACAATCGTATAACTTAGACGATTGCTGAGTGCTCTAATGGGAAGGCGAAGTTACGACCAGCTGGCTCTCAGTCTTAACTTTAGCCCAGACAGACCACAATTCAGTTACATACCCAGGGATGGGTCTCAGGCTGAAAACGACTCCACCATCCTAGAGGCGGGAAAAGAATGAAACGCTTCATCTTCCATGTTGGAAGCGAGCTCAAACTCCGTAAAGGAGTTACCTGTGTTCCGTCGTCACGGAAGCGGGAAAAACTTGCTGCCTTGTGTTGGAAGCAAGCGAAACTCCAAAAAGAGGAATTGTACAGGAAAATAAGCTTTAGCTCTCAGCTGAATTGAGGGAGATCAGGGATTCTCTGGAGGGGGTGCTTCCAGGCCTCAGCAAATGGTCTTACTGGTTTGAGCCACAAAGTTAGTTCAAGCTGGTACCAAGTGCCACTGGGAGACTTGTCAAACATCAGGGGCACCTCCACTCAGAATCCCGAATATCTAACACAGGTCTCAGTTAATTGAGAAAGTTTACGTTGCCAAGGTTGAGGACATGTCCCTGACGCAGCCTCGGGAGGTCCTGATGATGGGCCTGAGGCGGTCAGAGCACAGTTTGATTTTATACATTTTAGGGAGACAGGAGACATTAGCCAACATATGTAAGATGAACGTTGGTTCGGTCCAGAAAGTGGGGACAACATCAGGCAGGGAAGGGCTTCCCGGTCGTGGGTAGACGAGGGACAAATCATTGCATTCTTTTGCATTTCTGGCTAGTCTCTCCAAAGGAGGCAATTGGATACACATCTGTCTCAGCAGAGGGGTGACTGAATGAAATGGGAGGCAGGCTGGCCCCACGCCGTCCCAGCTTGGGTTTTCCTTTTAGCTTAGTGATTTGAGGGGCCCAAGATTTTCCTTCCACACCAGGCACCATTGAACCAACAGGTTCTCCTGTTATCATCTACATGAGGAAACTGAGGCACAGGCAAACCGCCAGCAAGAAAGTGCTAGGGCCTGGACATGAATGCGAATTTCCCCGACTCCCAGATGCATTGCACGCTGTTGGGGTGTGCTGAGTGGTGGCTCAGGTAGCTGTGGCCGTGGGGATCCCGCACCTCGAGTGATTCCCTCTCCCCGGTGGCTGGCGCTGACCTGGGGTTGGAGCCTGGCCCCACTGCGCCCTCCAGTGGCTGCTCTGGGTAAATGCGGTTGCTGTACCTCTTCTAACCCCAGGGTGGTGGTGCTTCCCAGAGCCACAGGATGAGGGGCTCCCATCTCACCAGAGATGCAGACCTAGAGCAGCCTGGCCTCAGCCTCGGGTGCCTCTTAGCTTGGAGTTGTGGTGCCACATCACCCCGGTGGTCAAATGCCACATCTGTGCTCCCTCCCAGGCCATCCTGAGTCCCCCATTCTGTGCCAGGTCCTACAAAGGCCCCCAGATGGACAGGGCAGCCCCATCCTCTGTGCTCATGGGTGAGGTAGATAACCAACCATCAGATAAGGCAGGTCAGGCTGAGGCATGAGCTGAGCCCCTGATAGGATGGGGGCTGCCATCCGGGAGGAAGGATGTCCATAGCCCCTGAAGGTATCAGGGCGGGCTTCCAGGAAGAGGAGGAAGAGGCCTTGGAATGAGCTTCAAAAGAGATGCATAATATTTAGGATGTCTAGTCCTTTGGCAGCCACAAAGCCCATGTGTTTGGGCCCTGAGGCCAACTCGGCAGTTGTGACCTCTCCAACTCCCTGCCCCCAGCCCCGGCCCCAGTGGTCAGCCCAGGCTTGGCCACACTGGCGCCAAACCAAGCCTGCAATGGAACCAGCAGGATCCCAGATATCTCCCCACCACGACGAAAAGGCCAGCTCTAGAGACCCAGCAGCCACTGTCCAGGCCCCTCCCCACACCAGACCCGGGGGTGCTCCACGGAGAGCAGGATTTCATGGATCTGAAAGTGAGGGAGAGAAACTCACTGTTTCCAGGAGCTCCGAAAGGCAGAGGCTCGGAGAGGCACAGAACCGCCCCCAATGCTCTCCAGCCCTGTGCTCCCCTCAGCATGGCCCAGAGGCCAGGCACGGTGGCTTGTAATCCTGTAATCCCAGAATACTGGGAGGCTGAGGAGGGCAGAACACTGGAGGCCCAGAGGTTGAGACCAGCCTTGCCAACATGGTGAAACTCCGTCTCTACCAAAATGACAAAACATTACAGGCAGGCACCTGTAATCCCAGCTACTTGGGAGGCTGAGGCAGGAGAATTGCTTGAACCCAGGAGGTAGAGGTTCCAGCGAGCTGAGACAGCCCCACTGCACTACAGCCTGGGTGCCAGAACGAGACTCCATCTCAAAATAAAACCGAAAAAAAACCCACACCTATTAATAGTGTGACTTGTCACAAGCCACTGCAAGATGCTCCTGTGAGTGTGGGGACTGCTGTTAGTGAACACACCAGGACACAGGTGTCACCCAGGTGGATACATGCCCCACAGGAGGACCCTTGGGTGGGGCTGTCACCCTGCCCAGGAAGGCATCAGGGCTCAAGACCCAGAGCAGGGCTTGGAGGAGGCCAGCTGTTGACTGGCCCCTGCCCCCACTGCTGTCCACAGACCCTCTGGGCAGCCTCAGGCAGGGCTCCTCCATGGTGTGCAAGCTCCTCAGCCCTCCCCACCCTCCTGCCTTGACTCCAGGCTCTCGGGAGCTCCCAGCACCCTGACCTCTGCTTCCCAGTGAGGGAGGACCCTCCTCCCTGACTACACCTGCAGAAACCTGAGGGCGGCTATCAGGGTGGGAGGCCGCCTCCAGTGTGACCTGGAGGGGTCACTTACCACACCGGCCCCTCATCGGCCATGTGGGTGGTGGAGGTGGATGAGGCTGTGCCGTGAGCATCCCCAGGCACCTCTGCAAGACTGCCTCCCCAGCACAGCTGTCCCCAGGCTGCACCTGCCTGCTCGGGAAGTCCTCAGTCCCCAGGGGTTCCCATGTCCACCCCCACAGCATCTGCAGCTGGATGCGGGTGCAGGAAGGGAGGGGACCCAGGAACCCAGTCCCTGCTGGGTCTGGGGTGGAGGGGGTGGGTCCCTGAAGGGTCAGAGTGAGGGGAGCCTCCTGGTGGCTCCTTGGGGATGGGGGACGTAGAGAGGTAGGGTGGGACCTGCTCACCCCGTATCCCCCGCAGGCCGCTGCTGGCTGGATGCCCTGGAGCTGGCCCTGCGCTGCTCTAGCCTGCTGAGACTGGGCACCTGCAAGCCAGGCCGAGACGGGGAGCCAGGGACGTCGCCAGACGCGTCACCCTCATCGCTGTGCGGGCTGCCTGCCTTGGCCACCATCCACCCAGACCAAGACCTGTTCCCGTGAGTGAGGCCAGGGCACAGGGTGGTGACTCATGGGGTGTCCTTGTAGGTGAGGAAGACAGGGAGAGGACGGCCCAGCCTCCGCTCTGGTGGGCTGCAGGCTGCAGGCAGGGACCTGTTCATTGCAGTGTACCCAGGAGCCTCGGCTTCTTCCTCTATAAAACGGGCTAATCGTGTCCAACGTGAGTTGTGGAGGCGATGGCAGGCCGGAACATAGGGTAGCGCTGAGCAGCAAGGGCTGGGAGGCCCAGAGGGGTGTGCCAGGGTCTCACCTTTGACAGGGACCCACTGACACCATCCACCTTCCAGACTGAATGGGTCTTCCCTGGAGAACGACGCCTTCTCAGATAAGTCGGAGAGAGAGAACCCTGAGGACTCAGATGCCGAGACCCAGGACCACAGCCGGAAGAACGAGAGTGGCAGCGACCAGTCGGAGACCCCTGGGGCCCCGGCACAGAGAGGGACCACCTATGTGCAGCAGGCCCAGGAGGAGCTGGGGGAGGTGAGAGCCCCAGCCAGGAGCCCCAGGCGTCTCCTCCGCCTCGGCCCCTCGATCTGGAAGCAGAGGTAGCCATGCCTCATCCTGGGGGGAGCACCTGGGGCCCCGGGGGTGGCTTTTGTCCCCATCGCTTGGCAGTGAGTCTGGGAGCTGTCTGTTAGGTAAGCAGGCTCCTCTCCTCTTCTGAAGAGGCGGCCTCTGGCTGGCTGGGATGCAGACGTGGGATGGGCAGGGCAGCTCCCTTCTCGGGCTGGAATTCATTGGCGGGAGAAACAGAGGCTCTGGAGGGGCCCTTGACCCTTTCTGGGGGGGGCGGCCCCACTTCCTGGAGGAGCACAGAGGAGGGTGTGCTGGGCGTGAGTCCCAGGCTTACAGGCACCTGCATACCTGCTGCTCCTCGGGTCCTGGGAGAGCCGTGAACGAGACAGAGCTGGGCCCTGGGCCCCCGGTGCACGGGCAGCAGGAAACACGAAAAACCCACAAACACGGGAGGAGGCTGGGGAGCAGCTGAGGGGACGATCCTAAGACATGAGTGAGGAGAGGGAGGATGGTGTTCTAAGAAGAGGGACCGTCACCAGTGCACGAGGCCGAAGCAGGGACGGGGACCGTGGCCAGTGCACGAGGCCGGCCGGAGCAGGGACAGGGACCGTCACCAGTGCATGAGGCGGAAGCAAAGACAAGGACCGTCACCAGTGCATGAGGCCGAAGCAAAGACAGGGACCGTCACCAGTGCACGAGGCCGGAGCAGGGACAGGGACCGTGGCCAGTGCACGAGGCCGGAGCAGGGACGGGGACCGTCACCAGTGCACGAGGCCAAAGCAGGGATGGGGACCTCCACCAGTGCACGAGGCTGAAGCAAAAACAGGGACCGTCACCAGTGCACAAGGCCGGAGCAGGGGCGGGGACTGTCACCAGTGCACAAGGCCGAAGCAGGGACGGGGACCTCCACCAGTGCACAAGGCCGAAGCAAAGACGGGGACCGTCACCAGTGCACGAGGCCGGAGCAGGGGCGGGGACCGTGGCCAGTGCGTGAGGCCGAAACAGGGACGGGGACCTCCACCAGTGCACGAGGCCTAAGCAAAGACGGGTACCGTCACCGGTGCAGGAGGCCGAAGCAAAGACGGGGACCATCACCAGTGCACGAGGCCGAAGCAAAGACAGGGACTGTCACCAGTGCACGAGGCCGAAGCAAAGACAGGGACCGTCACCAGTGCACGAGGCCGAAGCAGGGACGGGGACCGTGGCCAGTGCGCGAGGCCAAAGCAGGGACGGGGACCTCCACCAGTGCGTGAGGCTGAAGCAGGTGCAGGCGGCGGGTAGTGGTGCCAGTGTCCCCAGTGCACACCCTCAGATGAACAGCCAGGGCACTGCCTCCCTGCTGCCAGAGAGAATGCACGTGGCCCTGGGCACTGTGGGGCATCTCAGGAAGGGGAGTCCAGAGGAATCACAGGCTCTGAGCTTACACTGGGTGACTTGGGCACAGGCTGAGGAAGCCAGGCTGTGCTCCGGCGTGGATGTGTCAGGAACAGGAAGCTCTGAGATCTGGGATCTTGTCATTCTCATGCGGGAAGTGGGACAGGAGGAGCAAGGCTGTGGCTGTCACAGGGCAACGGGCAGTCCTGGTTTCCGCGGGAAAGGGGATTGCGGTCCCTGCTGCTGTTTGGATGAGCATCATGTTCACATCTTGCTCTGCAGGGACATCTGTGGTCTGTGGAATTCCTTGTGTTCAGTAGAACACCGTGGCCTCCCTGTGGCTGCTGTTTCCACAGAGCTCAGGCTCCCGTGCAGGGATGGGAGGGTTAGGATGCGCCTAGAGGGAGTGGACCGAGGGCCCCGGGAGCCTTGGGCTGAGAGTGTTGGGGAAACCACCAGCAGGTTAGGCAGGGCCCTCAGGACAGCTGAGGGGCAGAGGTGGACACCGGGCCACCTGTAGGAAAGAGCCATTGTGGGAAGAAAGCTGGGGGTGCCCTGGACCTGGCTGTGATGGAGAAGGGAGAGGGGCAGACTCAGGGTGTTTGGAAGGTGGATTGGGCAGATCCCAGCCAGATGGCAACGCGTGACGCTGCTGTGAGCCAGGCAGGGTGGGCTGCTGCAGGTGTGAGCCCAAGGCTCCAGGCAGAGACCTGGGCATGAGGGCATGGGCGGACAGCCAAGGGGCGCCCAACCTTCAGAGGCCAAGCACAGATAAGGCTTCACAGAGGTGGGCAGGGAGGTAGGAGGAGGGGTTGCAGGGCCAGCAGTGCTGAGAACCAGGGCAGGATGAGAAGAGGGGGTGACGGCTGGATCAGTGAGGGGCAGTGGGGACCTGCACCAAGACAGCCTTAGTAGAGAAGAGAGCAGAAGCCTGGGGGAGAGGGTTCAGGAAGATGGAAGGGCACAGACAGAGCTGGAGGGTCCCTGACAGCCGAAGCTGCCCGCCATTTCTAAGTCCCAAAGCTTTCTTGGAAATCAAGGCTACAGCACTGGACCCTCGACCCCTCATGGGCCAGCCCCTCACAGGGTCAGACATGGCTCCTTGGTGCCACAAGCACAGAGAGGCGAAGCCACTTGCCTAAGGCATCCCTGCAGCAGGGGCGAGATCCCGACTCACAGACCGCACCCCATCTGGCCCCCTCCCCTGGGCAGCTGTCTTCAGGCTAGCTGGGGTTACAGGCTTGAGCCACCGCGCCCGGCCAGAAATATAATCTTTTAAAAAAATGGAAGAGCAGGCTGGGCACGGTGGCTTATGCTTATAATCCCAGCACTTTGGGAGGCTGAGGCAGGTGGATCTTAAGGTCAGGAGTTTGAGACCAGCCTGTCCAATATGGTGAAGCCCCATTTCTACTAAAAAATAACAAAAATTAGCTGAGGTGTGGTGGTGCATGTCTGTAGTCCAGCTATTCAGGAGGCTGAGGCAGGAGAATCGCTTGAACCCGGGAGGTTGATTGTGGTGAGCCGAGATCGTGCCATTGCACTCCAGCCTGGGTGACAAAGTGAGCTTCTGTCTCGGAAAAAAGGAAGAGCAGGTCAAAGCGCTGCTCCCCAGGCAGCTGTGAAGACAGGGCGGGCGGCAGCCTCTCTGTTCCTGGGCCCCGGGTCCCACGAAGCACAGATGCATTTCAACAGCAGGTGCTGAAAGGCTGTACCCTGCCCTTTGAGGGGGGCAGGACATGGGGTCCCTGGGCCAGGAGCAGAGACAGAAGCAGGCCTGGATCAGGGCTGGGGGTGCCCCAGGGGCAGGGTGGAGACACATTGGGAAGAGTTCACATCTGACGGGGCTGAGTTGGCCTCATGAGGCCACAGGGACCAGGCCAGGGGTTTACACCCAAAGGGGTGGCAGGTGTGGCCTCCTCCAGCCAGAGCTGCCACTGCCCCGCCACCCTTCCTCGAGGCTCCTCCACGCAGGCGCTGACTGCAGCCTGTCTGCCGCAGCTGGGCGAGGCGTCCCAGGTGGAGACAGTGTCGGAGGAAAACAAGAGTCTGATGTGGACCCTGCTGAAGCAGCTGCGGCCGGGCATGGACCTGTCCCGCGTGGTGCTGCCCACCTTTGTGCTGGAGCCACGCTCCTTCCTGAACAAGCTCTCTGACCACTACTACCACGCAGACCTGCTCTCCAGGTGAGCGCCACGCCGGGAGGGCGCCCCACACCGTGCCCTGCATCTGCAGGAGACCTGCAGCCCCTCAGCCCCTGCCTCCCCTGTGGGGGCTTCCAGAGTCCCCTGGCTGATCTCAGCCCACTGTTCCTGCAGCTCCCCCCTCCCAGGGGGCCCTGTCTCCAAGGCGGGCCTGGGCGGAGCTGGCAGAGAGGGAGAGTCGTTCCCTCAGGGCCAGGGCCATCTGTGGTGAGAGGGGGCTCAGTCCCAAGCACCTGCCATGCACCCTGAGCCCTGTACCCTCAAGCTGGAAGGGATGGGATACAGAGGAAGGAAGGGAGTTGCAGAGACTAGAAGCAGGTTGCAGAGGCAGGAAAGGGCTGCAGAGGCAGGAAGGGGCTACAGAGGCCAGAAGGGGCTACAGAGGCCGGAAGGGGCTGCAGAGGCAGGAAGGGGCTGCAGAGGCAGGAAGGGGCTACAGAGGCCGGAAGGGGCTGCAGAGGCAGGAAGGGGGCTGCAGAGGCAGGAAGGGGCTACAGAGGCCGGAAGGGGCTGCAGAGGCAGGAAGGGGCTGTAGAGGCTGGAAGGGGCTGTAGAGGCTGGAAGGGGGCTGCAGGCTTGGGAGTCAGGCAGAGGGAGCATCGTGGGGACAAGAGTGTGGGCTTCCTGGAGGTGGGGGCACCCTGGCACCCTATGTGAGCAGTGCCCTCTGCCCCAACATTGGAGCAGCCCTGGCTCCAATGAAGAACCCACTTCTCTGTAGAAAATTCTCCTGCTTGGGGTGGCCAGAGTACCTGGGCCAGGCAGCCTGTTTCCAGCTGAGTGGATGGAGGTTGGCATGGTAGGAGGGAGGGGTCAGGGAAAGGGAGGGTGGCCCATGGCCCCCAGAGCAGAGGTCAGCGTTCTCCCGCCCCATGGCAGGGCCGCAGTGGAGGAGGACGCCTACAGTCGCATGAAGCTGGTGCTGCAGTGGTACCTGTCTGGCTTCTACAAGAAGCCCAAGGTGAGACCCTGCCAGCCGGGGAGGGTGGGGCTGCGGCCCACGGGTCCGTTTGCTCAGCCCTCGTTCCTTGTCCCCGGGCTACCCCCTACTCCACATGGCCTTGAAGGACCCTGGTTACCCCACAGAGGTCCCAGGTCCTTGGTGATGGGGGACAGGGCCCCACTTCCCACAGGGGTGTTCTGGGTGGCTCAGGCCAGGCCCCCAAGGGTGGTCTCAGTTCCCTGAAGGGCCCAAGCTGGACCCCTTCCTTATCCCCCAAGAGAACAGCCTCAGGCCGTGTGAGAGATGGTGCCAAAAGACAGAGGCTTTCAACCCCGAACCTCGAGGAACCTTTGGGATCTGTGGTTTTCATAAATTTTTAGCCATGGAGCCCCTTTTTAGAACCACAAACCCAAGACTCCAGTGACAGCAGGCTGCTCTGGTTATAGTGAGGGACAGGGGCCCGAAGCCCCCCTGACCTCACCACCAAGCCCTGGGGCTCCATGGGAAGCAAGTTTGAAAACCAGGATCTTGGTTCCACTTCTTCATTGTGCAGATGGGGAAACTGAGGCTCGGTGAGGGGAAAGGATGGCCCAAGTCACACAGCAGGTGTGGGGTGGTGGCGGGACTCCTGACTGCCTGGTGCCCTCTGTGGTCTTCAGCTGCACCCAAGGTCCAAGGAGAGTGTGACAAGGTTGGGGTCTTACATCCCTCCTCTAAGCTAAGAAGTGGACAGGATTCCCCTGAGGCTGTCCCCCAGGAATGTAAACCACAGGCAAAACAATCCCCCCAAATCAGAAGTGAGGTGCTGTTCCCAGATGCTGGCAGCAAAGCAGACGAGCAGGCAGCGGGCAGCCCACCCACACTGCCCCCCAGGCCACCTCCCTCACCTGCTCTGCACAGCGACCCCTCACCTGCCCAGTTCCTCACACGAGTCTGTTGCGTGCAGGGAATCAAGAAGCCCTACAACCCCATCCTGGGGGAGACCTTCCGCTGCTGCTGGCTCCACCCCCAGACTGACAGCCGCACGTTCTACATAGCAGAGCAGGCAAGAGCCCCTCCACTGCACCCGGGCCTGGGGGCTGGGCTCGTGGGGGCGGGGCCCTGGCAGCGGGCAAGCATGACCCCGAGAGCCCGCTTCCTAGGCGCCCCACATCCTGCCCAGCACTGCCAACAGGGATTCTCACAGAAGGTGCAGACACCTCCATGGCTGTGGCAGCAGACAGCATCTCCCTACGGAGGGGACAGAGCATCCCATCTCTCAAGGGGGGGCCTTCTGGGGCAGTCAGGGCTCCTGAGCCCCACATTGAAGCCTGCCTGCCCTGGGCGTCATGAGCGAGAGCCAGGAAGGCCCCTACCCGAATCCTGGGACGGGGATGGGGGTGTATCCGGGACAGGGAGGGGTTTTCTTTGAAGCTGGGCTCCTGCTTCCTGGGATTACCTGCTTCTGAGCTGTTGACAGAGCCGCCTCTGCACACAGGTGTCCCACCACCCGCCCGTGTCTGCCTTCCACGTCAGCAACCGGAAGGACGGCTTCTGCATCAGTGGGAGCGTCACAGCCAGGTCCAGGTTCTATGGTGAGGAGGTCACCCCAGGCGCCCCCTGGGGCCTCAGGGAAATGCAGTGGGGGGCTGCAGGAGCAAGTGGGCCAACATCTCAGCTGGGGGCCGTGTGCCTGTCCCTCCCAACCCTTGTAGTCAGAGACCGCCATGGTCAAGTGCTCACACCCGGGCATCAGGCAGAGCTTGCCCGCAGCTCCCCTGAGCTGAGAGGGGGCACCTTTTGTAGGGATGCCTTGAGAACTGAGGGAAGCGTCTGCGTGGAAAGGTGTGGACCAGGGCTGAGCAGCCCCAGAGCGCTGTGTGGCTGTGTGAATCCGCTAAAATGAAACTTTTTAGCACAGTGGCTCACGCCTATCATCCCAGCACTTTGGGAGGCTGAGGTGGGCGGATCACCTGAGGTCACGAGTTCAAGACCAGCCTGGCCAACATGGCAAAACCTTGTCTCAAAATATAAAAATTAGCTGGCCGTGATGGGTGCCTGTAATCCTAGCTACTTGGGAGGCTGAGGCAGGAGAATCGCTTGAACCCAGGAGGTGGAACTTACCATGAGCTGAGGTGCCACTGCCCTCCAGCCTGAATGACAGGGTTAGACTCTGCCTCCAAAGAGAGAAAAAAATGAAACTGAAACCAAGGACTTTCTGTGGCCACATCTCAGTGCTCAGTGTTGGCCCCAGAGTGGGACAGGGAGGGAATCTCTGGTCTTTGCAGCAGCCCCACTGGACTGCACTGCTTTGGGGCCTGACAGCCGCGGGTGTGCAGAAGGTGGCCGTTTCCATGTCTTCCCATCAGTCGTACGTTTCCCATCAGTTCCGTCATGGGCGGGTGTGTGCCGGTTGCCTCTGTGCGCCTGGCTCTCCTGGGTGTGTGGAAGTCTGGGAGGGGCCCATGTGCCACTGCCCTCCGGTTCAGCCCACCTCGTCCACCTCTGTCCTCTCCTCACTGGCCATGTCCGTGACTCGGCCCTTCCACAGGGATGTTTAAAGTCTAAGGGGGACTCAGGCTACTTTGAAAAGGTTTGCAGCCTCCACCCTGAGAATCGTCAGTTTTGTGACTGGAATAAAACACTAACAAGTCAAAGGTGAAAAGACTTCTCAGCGCAGATGTCATGCACACACTGGACGGGGATTTGACAGAGTCTCAGGCCCCGAGAGGTTACGTGACGCACCCGAAGTCACACCGCATGTTCGCGTTCGGCTGTCGGAAGGAGCTCTGACCCTGTGACACGGGGGCGGCCGCAGGTGTGAAGGGGCTGTCTGCACTCACTGGTCCTTCTGCCTCTTGTCTCTGCAGGGAACTCGCTGTCAGCTCTGCTGGATGGTAAAGCCACGCTCACCTTCCTGAACCAAGCGGAGGATTACACCCTCACCATGCCCTACGCCCACTGCAAAGGTGAGGGGCTCAGCTACCCACCCCAAGGGCAGAGCCAGGCTCCTCCCTCAGTGACATCGGCTGGGTGATAAACCCCTTTAGTTATTTGCTGGAGGATATCTACTTCACCTTCACTCCCCCATTACTTTTTTTTTTTTTTTTTTGAGACGGAGTTTCGCTCTTGTTGCCCAGGCTGGACTGCAATGGTGCGATCTGGCTCACCGCAACCTCCGCCTCCCAGGTTCAAGTGATTCTCTTGTCTCCACCTCCTGAGTAGCTGGGATTACAGGCATGCACCACCACGCTCAGCTAATTTTGTATTTTTAGTAGTGATGGGGTTTCTCCATGTTGGTCAGGCTGGTCTTGAACTCCCGGCCTCAGGTGCTCCGTTCACCTCAGCCTCCCAAATTACAGGCGTGACAGCCACCACGCCCAGCCTGGCCCGTGACTTTCGAAGGTGCGTGATTCCAGGTGGATTGCTGTTTTCAGCCCTTTTGACATACGCATTTCGTTTGCCTTCCGGCTGGCACTGCTGTCGGGATGATCAGCTGTCAGCGCGTTTGTTACATCATCTGCTCTTCCCAGCAAGGCTTTGAAGGCACTCTTGTTGCCTTGGTGCTCTGTAGTCTCGCTATAGTGTGTCCAAGTTAGGATTTCTTTTGATTTTTTCATTAATGGACTTTATTTTTTATAATAGTGTTGTGTTTACAGAAGAATTGAGCAGGAATACAGAGTTCCTGTGTGTCCCTTACACAGTGTCCCCTGTCATTAACACCTCACATTGAGGTGCTGCATTTGGTGCCAATGATGAGCCAGTACTGATACACTGTTATGAGCTGAGTGTACAGGTCGCTTCTTGTGTTGCTCATTATGTGGGTTTTGATAAAGACAGAAGGACCTGTGTCTGCCATTACCGTATTTCACAGAATAGTTGCACCACTCTAAAAGTCTCTTATGATGAGACATGAACAGATGAATCCACATACTCCTCCGTCCCCCCAGGCTCTGGCCACAACTGATCCTTTACTGCCTCCATAGTTTTGCCTTTTCCAGAATGTGATGTAGTTGGAATCATATGGCATGGAGCCTTTTCAGATTGGCTTCTTTCACTTAGAAATATGCACATAAAGATTCTTCCACTGGGCATCCCCGCACTTTGGGAGGCCGAGGTGGGGGATTTGCTTGATGGGGGAGTTCAAGACCAGCCTGGGCAACATGGTGAAACCCTTTCTGTACCAAAAATACCAAAAAATGAGCCAGGCATGGTGATGCACTGCACTGGTGGTCCCAGCCTTGGGAGGTTGAAGTGGGAGGATTACCTGAGTCCAGGAGGTAGAGGCTGTGGGGACCCTCATGACACCAGGTGCACTCCAGCCTGGGCAGCAGAGTGAGACCCTGTCTCAAAAAAAAAATCCTCCATGTCCTTTTATCACTTGCTAGCTCTGGATTGCTCTTGAATTTTTACTGACTGAGGATTTTTGTTTGTTCGAACTCTTTGAACCTGAGGTTTTGTGCCGTTGATCATGTCTGGAAACTTTTAGCCCATTATTATTTTTAAGTGCCTCACTCCCGATTTCTCCGTTTCTCCTAGAACTCCAGTGAGACCGAATTTAAACCACCTTCTTTGCTTGTCTCTCTTACTGTTTCCATCATTCTTTTATTTGTTTGCATTCTAGAGAATTTATTCAGGTGCATCTTTAACTCTAATTAACTTGACATGTGACTTATTCACCGAGTTTCCTTTTTGATGTTTTGTTTCCCAAGAAGTTCTTCTCCTTTTCAAAGCTGCCTGTTCTTTTTCTTCTTTCTCTCTTTTGTTTTAGATGGAATTTTGCTCTTACTGCCCAGGCTGAGTGCAGTGGCACCATCTCGGTTCACTGCAACCTCCGCCTCCTGGGTTCAAGCAATTCTCCTGCCTTAGCCTCCCAAGTACCTGGGACTACAGGTGTGTGCCACCACACCTGGCTAATTTTGTATTTTTAGGAGAGACTGGGTTTCTCCATGTTGATCAGGTTGGTCTTGAACTCCTGACCTCAGGTGATCCACCCGCATCAGCGTCCCAAAGTGCTGGGATCACAGGAGTGAGCCACGGCACCGGCCTTTCCTGTTCTTTTATACTGGTACCTGTTCCTTGGTCATGCTTGCAATCCTTTCCTGCAAATCTTAGAGCACTGCAATAAACAGTTTTTTCATCATTTCTATCTGGCCATTCTCATAGTGTAATTTGTTTGCGGCTGGGTCCCCTCTGCCCGCAGTGATGCCCTCAGAGATGCTCAGTAGTTACTCAGAGAATGGCTGAATTACCCTGGGATTCTCATTTTGCTAGTGCTTCATTTGTTGCTGTTTTGCTACCTGAAATTGTTTGACTGCCTCTCACATTTTCTTAGTAGGTTGTTTCTGGGACACAGAAGTATAGGTTTGAATCCCAAACTCACCTTACGCATTCATGGAGAGTTCCAGGTTTCTTTTTAACCCCTAGAGCAGAGGCCAACAGAGGGGTCCCCTTGAGTCACCCTCTGGGACGAATGGGCTTTCTGCAGCTGTTCCTTTTGCTGATGGTATAGCCATGTGAGAGTGCCTGCTTTGTGGAAATGTCTCAGAAAAAACTCTCCTGGTTTCTCTGACCCAAGGACCTGTCTGCCACTTCCCATGGGAACCTCAGAAACCAAGATCTCAGATCAACAAATGCCCCTCCTTCCTTTCCCCCTCCTCCCACTGCCCCTTCCCCTTCCCCCCCTCCTCCTCCCCCTCCTCCAACTCCCCCATCCCCTTCCCCCTCCTCCTCCCACTCTCCCCTTCCCCTCCCCCTCCTCCCACTCCCCCCTCCCCTTCCCCCTCCTCCTCCCACTCCTCCCACTCCCCCCTCCCCTTCCCCCTCCTCCTCCCACTCCCCCTCCCCTTCCCCTTCCCCTTCCCCCTCCTCCTCCCACTCCCCCCTCCCCCTCCCCTCCCCCCTCCTCCTCCCACTCCCCCCTTCCCTTCCCCCTTCTCCTCCTCCTCCCTCTCCTCCCCCCTCCTCCACTCCCCCTCCCCTTCCCCCTCCTCCTCCCCTTCCCCCTCCTCCTCCCACCCCTACTTCTCCCTCTCCTCCCCTTCCCTCTCCTCCTCTCCCTCCTCCTCCCCCTTCTCCTCCCCTCCTCTTTCCCCTCCTCCCACTCCCCCTCCCCTTCCCCCTTCTCCTCCTCCTCCCCCTCCCCTTCCCCCTTCTCCCTCCTCCTCCCCCTCCTCCTCCTTCTCCTCCTCCCCTTCCCTCTCCTCCTCTTCCTCCTCCTCCTCCTCCTCCTCCCCTCCCTCTTTATTTTTCTTCTGGGGGAGTTCCCATATTTCCTTGCATGCTCATTGACTCACCCATGTTTCATATTTTTTTTTCAACTTTTTGTTATTGGCGAAGTTCAAACATATATGTATGGCACACCCACGAACCCGCAGCACAGCAAGCCACTCACCTTCATGCTCTCCCCCAGTTGATTGGAGGTAAATCCCAGACATCACATCATCTGAGTATTTTATTTTATATCACTTAAAGACAAGGATTTCCCTTTTTTTTTTTTTGAGACAGAGTCTCACTGTATCGCCCAGGCTGGAGTACAGTGGTGTGATCTCGGCTCACTGCTACCTCCCCCTCCCAGGTTCAAGCGATTCTCCTGCCTCCACCTCCGGAGTGGCTGAGATTACAGGCATCTGCCACCATGCCTGGTTAATTTTTGTATTTTAGTAGACATGGGGTTTCACCATGTTGGCCAGGCTGGTCATAGATTCCTGACCTCAAGTGATCTGCCCGCCTTGGCCTCCCGAAGTGCCGGCGTTACAGGCATGAGCACTGCACCCACCCAGGATTTCCCTTCTTGACCATAACTAAAATACTATCACCAGACCAAAAAACACCCACTCTTCCTTATCATCGAGTCTGCAGTCCACGTTCGGGTCCCCAGTTGCCGTGTGCCTGTGTCTTGTTCCCTGGCACTCGGACAGCTGGCTGGCTGGCTGGGTCTCTGTGTACAGCCGTGCTCTGCAGGTGGCTGCCCCGTTCTTACATCTCCTTGATCCCTCCTGTTTTTCCCTGCAGTGTATTAATGCTTCCCTCCAGCGTGGATTTTCCTGGCTGCATTCCTGTGCCCTGGGGATCGCCCATAAACCATCAATTGATTTGATCCCTAGATGCCTGATCATGTTCACCACAATTTTTTTCAACATGATGCTTCCTCGAGGGTTTCGTGTCTTTCCACAGCAGGGCGCACGGGGCCTGCTGTTCTCTGTGACGTTAGTGGACCTTGATTCTCATGCCCGCCTCCATTCCTGTATCAGGCATTGCAAGATGGTGACGTTCCATCCTCCTTCACTTAGTCACCGAAAGGCTTCTCGAAAGAGAAACTCCCCCTTGCCCACTACACAGTTACCCAACAGGACTGCTTTGTTTTAGGATAAATCCCAGGTTTTTTTTTAATCTTTTCAAAATAATGAGGTTTTTTCCCCTGCTGTCTTCCAAAGGTGACTGGCAAAGGTGATTATTGCCACGTATCTTTGATAGGAACGTATTTGATGTTTTAGAATGTTTTAATTGTTCACCTTATTGATACTGAGATTGCCCCATCTTTGGGGGCCATCGTTGGCTCCGGGGCCCCCTGCACATGCCGACGCTGGACTTCAAGGCGGCCATTTCTCCAGAGAGCCCCAGTTCCTCTCACTAGGAAATAACATGTAGTGACCGCCATCTGGGGGGCAGGTCTGTTTTGTTTTTCTTCCTTTCTTTCTTTTTTAAGAAGACTCTCACTCTGTTGCCCAGGCTAGAGTGCAGGGGTGCGATCGTGGCTCGCTGCAGCCTCGGCACTGGGCCTTCCTCTCCCTGGAGCCCACAGAGCCCTCAAGGCTGCGCAGAGCCGCTCCTTCGTCTTTCCAGGCGCGTAGCTTTCCACCGGGCACGTGGCCAGGGTGTGCTCGCACAGCACCCTCCGGAGGGCCTTGGGGGTGCTTCAAGCTTTTGTCTCGACAAGTAGCTTGTCGTCCGTTTTCTTCATTTTTAAGACACATATTTCGCCACACATTTCTAAGTGGTTTTCAGAGTGCAAATGTTTGGGTTAATTGAAAAAAGATGCATTAATTTTTTTAACTATACGGGATGCTATCCTGGGTGCTGGTGCCTGCTCTGTTCTGGGTGCCAGCCTGGGGCGCAGCAGTGAGCGGGAAGATGCCTGCCCTGAGGAGTGTGACGTCACAGCAGGGACCACAGAGTCAAGTGAAGCACACTCGTGTCTCACGGGGCTGGTGGCCTCCAGCGCGTGGAACAGGAGGTGACACCCGGACATGCAAAAAGGCCTGGCGAGGACAGAGCCCCCTTAGTGGGGAGACAGCCCCCGAGGGCCCAAGCGTGCCTCCACATGGGGCTCTGCTCCCAGCTCCTCTTGTCCTCCTCGCCATCCCAGGGACTGGCACATGCCTCCCAGGGGTCGGTGCTGCTGGGTCGGGACTCAGCAGGGCTGGGGCAGCATAGGCCCTGACACTGGCTGCATTTCAGGACTCCTGTATGGCACGATGACCCTGGAGCTGGGTGGGAAAGTCACCATCGAGTGCGCCAAGAACAACTTCCAAGCCGAGCTGGAGTTCAAACTCAAGGTAGAGCTAGCCGCAGCCTGGGGGAGGCGAGGCCAGTGAAGGAAAGAGGCCTTGGGGATCCTCCTGGACCCTCCCCAGCCCCCAAGGAAGGTTCCCCAAGGCAGTGCACATGAGGAGAGCGGCTATTGACATCCAACAACACAGACAGGGCCCAGAGAGGGGAGGCTGCTGCCTGCAGCCGCACAGCGGAGCCAGCCCAGGCCCTGTCTCTGTGGCAGGGACCCTGCATCCTTGAGCGGAGGCATGGGGGTCACAAAGACCTTGCTGGCTAGTGTTGGTTGGGTCCGTCCCTCCTGGGCTCCCAGGCATCCCAAGAGAATAACTGTTCCGTGCCCCCATGAGGCTGTGGCTCTGGAGGGTCCCGGGCCCCTGCTCATGGGCTGTGTTCTGGGTGTGGCCCTGCAGCCCTTCTTCGGGGGCAGCACCAACATCAACCAGATCTCGGGAAAGATCACGTCGGGAGAGGAAGTCCTGGCGAGCCTCAGTGGCCACTGGGTAAGGGGCCAACCCTCAGGGCAGGCATGGCTGGGCAGTCATGGCAAGGCCCGCCTCTGACCCCACTGGCCATCTGGGGCAGGATAGGGACGTGTTTATCAAGGAGGAGGGGAGTGGAAGCACCACGCTTTTCTGGACCCCGAGCGGGGAGGTTCGCGGGCAGAGGCTGAGGCAGCACACGGTGCCGCTGGAGCAGCAGACAGAGCTGGAGTCCGAGAGGTGAGGCCTGCCGGTGCCCAGGGACCCTGCTGGCCACAGCCTGGCAGGGCCGGGCGGGAAGGCCAGCAAGGCTACAGTGCTGTGAGCAAGGTCCCAGGATGTCCCTGGCTGGGAGGGCAGCCTGGTGGAACCCTCATAGCAGATTGCATGTTCCAGAAAGGACAGATGGAGGGAGGGGGTGTGGCCTGGAGAGGAGCAGGCTCCCCCGACCCCTCACTGGTGGCGGGTGACCGACAGCTGCCCAGGGAGGTCCCTACAGGCGGGAGGTGGGAGCTCAGTGCTGGAAAACCTATCTCATGGACAAAAGAAAAGCTCCCTTTAAGGTAGTGAGCTCCCTGTTACTGGAGGCAATCAGGCAGAGGTTGCTCTGTGCCTTCCTTCCGGTGCCAAGGGGCCCTGATTCCCAGCTGCCTAAGGGGTGGTCGGGCTGTCCGGGCCTCTGGCTCAGGGCAGGTCGCTGGCCCACAGGCTCTGGCAGCACGTCACCAGGGCCATCCGCAATGGCGACCAGCACAGGGCCACGCAGGACAAGTTTGCCCTGGAGGAGGCGCAGCGGCAGCGGGCCCGCGAGCGGCAGGAGAGCCTCACACCTTGGAAGCCGCAGCTGTTCCACCTGGACCCCGTCACCCAGGAGTGGCGCTACCGCCATGAGGAGTGCGTGCTGGGCACAGCCCTGGGGCCGCAGGGTTGGGCTGGTCAGAGAAGGGCCCAGCGGTCCCCACTTCCCTCTCACCTTCATCCTATCCCCTGGAGGAGCCAGTAGGGGAGGGTCAGATAGTGACACCCACCACCACCGCCCCTCCAGTCCTTACTGCAGGCCCTGCCCGTGGGGTGTGGGCAGTGGTCACTCTCCTGCCTGAAGGTCTTTGGCCACTGTTGGAGGAGCTGATGGCTGGGCCAGGACAGCCCCCTCGCCTGAGGCCCACTGCCTGTGCTGATGGACGCCCTGTGGACCCTCTAGCCGCAGCCCATGGGACCCCCTGAAGGACATCGCCCAGTTTGAGCAAGACGGGATCCTGCAAACCCTGCGGCAGGAGGCTGTGGCCCGCCAGACCACCTTCCTGGGCAGCCCGGGGCCCAGGCACGAGGTCAGCACCCTGCAGGCCCCGCCCAGGGTGGTCCTAGTGGTGGTGCCTTGCTCCTCACCTGGCTTCTCCTTCCCCTCACTCTGTTAAGCTTTAGCTGGGGCACCAGCTTAGGCCCTCACGCCCTCATCCCCCAGCCCCCTCATCCCTCCCCTTCCCTTCCCTGCCCTGCCCTGCATGGGACTCAGGAACCAGAATGTGCAGGACGCTCAGTTCCAGGCCACCTCGGTGTGTGTCAGGGTCTACTGTCAGCCCACTGCCCCCAAAGCCTTTGTCTGCCAAGTTAGCAGCCACATTATCCCATTCCACTGATGAGGAGATGGAGGCCCAGGGCAGCCCAGGGCCCTGCCCAGGTAGGAGGAGGAGGAGCCAGCACTGGCACAGATCTTGGGCCTGGAAGCGGGGTAAGCAGGACACAGGGAGGCTCCGGGGAGGAACCAGAGGAAGCCACCTTGGGTGTGTCTTTGTGCCTTGCCCTGGGCGGCCACCAGGTGGTGCCCAACCCACATGCCCCCATGTCAGGTGTGCTGAGCGGCACCAGCCGCACACCTACTGTGTGTAGAGCATGGCCAGTGCTCACCCGCAGCAGGCAGGATGGGGGCATATTCCCCAGGTGGTCAGGTCTGGGACACACTCAGATGAGAAGCCATGCTTGCCTGGTGGTCCTAACTTCCCCAGAAAGCTGGGGGTTGCCGTATCTCCCTGGCCTCATGTCCCGCGCTGTGTGCTGAGGGACCAGGGAAGAAGCCTTAGGAAGGCAGATGCACCCCTGCACCCCCTCTGTCTGCAGCACAGTTGCCAGGTCCCTGGGCTCAGCCCAAACTGCTCGCTCCTGCCTTCCCTTGGCCCCAGCCCCTCCCAGTCCCACTCCTCCTCCCCATCTCCAGCAGATGTCTACCCCAAGTGCCCTCTGCAGCCTCCCACTCCCCGGCCTCTGCAGTCAGGCTGGACCCCACCAAGCCTCAAACACCATCCCAAGGAGTACCTTGTGCCCAAACCCACCGGCCCGACCTCTGACCCCACCTGTCCTGGCCCTGACCCACCTGCCCCACCTCTGACCACACCTGTCCTGGCCCTGACCCACCTGCCCCACCTCTGACCACACCTGTCCTGGCCCTGACCCACCAGCCCCACCTCTGACCACACCTGTCCCACCTCTGACCACACCTGTCCTGGCCCTGACCCACCTGCCCCACCTCTGACCACACCTGTCCTGGCCCTGACCCACCAGCCCCACCTCTGACCACACCTGTCCTGGCTCTGACCCACCTGCCCCACCTCTGACCACACCTGTCCCACCTCTGACCACACCTGTCCTGGCCCTGACCCACCAGCCCCACCTCTGACCACACCTGTCCCACCTCTGACCACACCTGTCCTGGCCCTGGACCCACCAGCCCCACCTCTGACCACACCTGTCCTGGCTCTGACCCACCTGCCCCACCTCTGACCACACCTGTCCTGGCCCTGACCCACCTGCCCCACCTCTGATCACACCTGTCCCACCTCTGACCACACCTGTCCTGGCCCTGACCCACCTGCCCCACCTCTGACCACACCTGTCCTGGCCCTGACCCACCTGCCCCACCTCTGACCACACCTGTCCTGGCCCTGACCCACCAGCCCCACCTCTGACCACACCTGTCCTGGCCCTGACCCACCTGCCCCACCTCTGACCACACCTGTCCTGGCTCTGACCACACCTGTTCTGGCTCTGACCTCACCTGTCCCATCACTGACCACACCTGTTCTGGCTCTGACCTCACCTGTCCCATCACTGACCACACCTGTTCTGGCTCTGACCTCACCTGTCCTGGCTCTGACCACACCTGTTCTGGCTCTGACCTCACCTGTCCCATCACTGACCACACCTGTTCTGGCTCTGACCTCACCTGTCCCATCACTGACCACACCTGTCCTGGCTCTGACCACACCTGTCCTGGCTCTGCCCCACCTGCCCCACCTCTGACCACACCTAATGTGGAGTGACCCTGGCATCTCTCTGGCCTGAAGGCCTGTTGTTACACGGTGGTCCCACAGCCAGGCTCTGCTCTTTCCCCACCCCAAGCATTGGTTCCTGTCCTGGGTTCCTTGTGAACTCAAGTAAAGGCTGAATGGACAAGCCCTGCCGGCATTCCTGGGACTGTGCACAGCCAGCTGAGTCTGGGGGTTCCCCCTGGAGCTGTCCCTTGACGTGGGGAACCCTAGACATCTGGGGTTCCTGTGGACCCCACCAGCTCCCATAGTGGCCTCAGCTTTTATCTGTCTTTGTGACTCAGGGGTCAGAACCACCCATGGCCCCCATGCCATCATCTCTCCATTTATTGGGTGCAACCCCATGGTGGCACAGGGCAGGCCTGTCTGCACCGCCTCATAGGCCCTTGTTCACTGTGAGGGTCAGCAGCCCTGTGCCACCAGTGAGGAAACAGGCCCAAAGGGGGCATGGCCACTCCAGGCCATTCCAGGGCTGAGACGACCCCTCCAGCCAGCTCCACACCAGCAGCTGTCTTCCCTGCCAGCTGTGCCCTCTAGCACTGTCCTGGCATGAGCATGCCTCATGTCCCCAGGGTATGGGCAGGGGGCATGAGTGGCTCTCAGCTGCAGCGGCTCCATTTCTCTGCAGAGGTCTGACCCAGACCAGCGGCTTCGCAAGGCCAGTGACCAGCCTTCCGGCCACAGCCAGGCCACAGAGAGCAGCGGGTCCACGCCGGAGTCCTGCCCAGAGCTCTCAGACGAGGAGCAGGATGGCGACTTTGTCCCTGGTGAGCACCCTGGCCTAGCCCCAAGGTCCCTGTCTATGTGCAGAGCGCAGCTGGTGCTCGCCCACAGCAGGCAGAATGGCGCGTGTTCCCTGGCTGATGCCGTCCAGGCCAGCTGACACCCCTCTCTGGTGGACGCCTCAGATGCCACCTGGCTGGAGGGGAGTCCAGAGAAGCACCTGCCCAGGTGTAGGGCAGTCTCCCAGCAGAAGCTCCTCTGCCACCCTGAGGGGCCCCCAGCAGGCTCTGGCCTCTCAGAGTCTGGGGGGCAGCCCAAGGGCCAACGAGGGACAGGGTGGGGATGGGGAAGAAAGGCGAGTGGGTCCAGGCCAGGGGCTCCCCAGTGGCGGGGGCAGCATGAGGGGCAGGTCTGGTGGCATCCTCCCCAGCCCTCTGCTCCTCTCCTGCCACCAGGAGCTGTGTCTCCCCAGCTTTGTCCCTGCCTCTGTAGTAGATGAGCCTTGCCTTGGCCAGTCAGCCTCCTGTTAGAGGCTGGTCCAGCCTGGGGGTTCTCTCCAGAAACATCCTCAGCACCCTCCCTCATCTCTGGGTCTCCAGCTTGGCCCTGCACGTTTCCCATGAGGGGGTGGAAGCCCAGGCTGGATGTGACCCCGTGACCCACGTGCCAGCCCCCCAGACCTCCAGCTCATCCTCGCTTCTCCCCTCCCCTCCTGTATCTCCCTTGGGGCTGTCCCAGGCAGCGAGAGCCCCTGCCCTCGGTGCAGGAAGGAGGCACGGCGGCTGCAGGCCCTGCACGAGGCCATCCTCTCCATCCGAGATGCCCAGCAGGAGCTGCACAGGTGGGCCAGACTCTGGGTGTCCATCCGGGCTCCAGGTGGGAGAGGACAGGGGAGCTGGAGGAGCTACGGCGGGAAGCGGGGAGGCCGGGAGGCCGGGACCTGGGGTGTCACTGGAGCAGGAACCCACAGACCTGCAGGCTGATGAAGAAAACTGCCAAGGGCAGGAGAGAGGCTGTGAGAGGGGCAGGCAGTGCAGGGTGTTCAACTGGCCACGTTCGCCATGCCTGGCAGACACTGAGCCAGAGATGTCCTGGAGCCTAGAGGAAGGTGCCAGCCCAGCATAGCCTGGGGTAAACCCCAGGAGAGACCCTGAGGTTCGAGGGACAAGGAAGCAGCCTGGGCTCACTGCAGTGCCCAAACCCAGGCACAGCGGCTTCTCAGGAGTGGCTGAGGAAGGAGCCAGTGGTATTGGCCAAGAGTTCTGGGCACAGGCCTACACATGGCCCCTTCCTGTCACCAGATACCACCTATGGGGGCACAGCACAGGGTCCATCTCGGGTCCAAAGCTCCTGGCTCTGAGCCAGGCTGAGGGACTCACTGGCTGTGGGACCTTGGCTGTCACACCTCAGCCTCTTGTTTGTAAAGTGCGGTTGGTAGCAGTACCCCAAGGTGGAATGCAGCCAGGACACAGGCCTGGGCTCTGAGAGCTGCCATTATCCCTGTGATTCTGCTCTGGGTCCTGGCCGGAGAGCCCTCAGGGAGGGGCACATGCCAGCTATGGGGTTTGTATCCATGACCAGTTACGGATGCAGGCAGCGAGTGTGCCGGGTGCGGGTGGCACCTGCCTTTGGTGACAGCTCCCTCCCCTGTGACTCAGCAGCAGAACCCCCATGCCCTTCCAGAAGGGTGCTCCCTGGTGAGGCTGTGTGGGCAAAGAAACGGAGTTCTGGCTCCCCAGAAGCAGGTCTGCTAACAGGCAGTTGGCAGGACGCAGCCAGAAGCTTCTGCAGCAAAAACCAGATCCACGTCGGAGGCCAGGTTCTCCAGGGCAAAGAACTCCAGCTCAGGGCCAGGATGGCAGAGCACTCCAGCTGAGGACCCAGGGCATCCATGGCAAAGCACTGCTGGCCAAAGGCTGGAACAGTAGCTTCTGCTCCCTCACAGTCCTGGAGGCTGGGGTCCGAGCTCTGGGTGTCACAGAGCTGGTTTCTCCGGGGACCTCTCTCCTGTCTTGCAGATGCCACCTTCTCACCATGTCTGTCCTAATCGCCTCTTCATATAGGGACCTTCGTATAAGTTCCTATGGGATCAGGGCCCACCCTAATGGTCTCAATTTAAATCAATGCCTCATTAAGGACCTGATCTCCAAACACTGTCTCATCTGAGGTGGAGGGGTTCGGACACCAACAGTGACTGTGGCAGAGGCACGATTCAGTTGTAACCACAGGGGTGGCGGGAGGAGGTGAAAGACCAGCTCCCCCATCCCTGGCCCTCCTCTGCCCTGGATGTGCCCAGGGAATCCCAATAGAGCCACTGTGCCCTGGGGCCCTCCCCCTAACAAGCTCTCCACTCACACCTGCTCCGATGTCCCTGGAGGACAAGAGGTGCCATCCTGTCTCCAACACGGCCCCGTGTCCAGCACCTAGTCAAGCACCCAGGGCACCATCCTGGCCTGTGGGAGGAAGCCTTGCTGGTGTTGGCACAGCCCCCACGACCTCTCCTCTGTCCTTGCAGGCACCTCTCTTTCATGCTGAGCTCCACGGCATGGGCAGCACAGGCACCAGCCCCCGGCCTCCTGCAGAGCCCCCGATCCTGGTTCCTGCTCTGCGTGTTCCTGGCGTGTCAGCTGTTCATTAACCACATCCTCAAATAGGAGCCGTGGGGGCAGCTCCTGACCAGCCCTGAGCCCTCCTTCCCAGGCACCCAGCACTTTAAGCTGGCTCTGTGGACGCAGAGAGTCCAGCAAGCACAGCCACTGTGACGGGAGGCCCGGGCACAGGAGACGCCTGGGGCCACAAGGGCACTGTGGCCCAGGCGTGCTGGGTACCTCTTGCGGGGGCGCTGGCCTGTCTGCAGGGCCTTCTGCTCAGCACCAGCCTTAATGCTAAAGCCAAATGCAGCTTCCGCTGTGTAATACACTCCTGGCTGTCTTGTCTCGCCACCCCCAGTCCAGAGGATGGATGGATTTAGGGTGGGAGGGCCTGTTGGGGCTCTGGACAGTCACAGCCCAACAGCAGTGAGTAGGCAGGTTTGGAGGAGCAGCCACAGAGTCCCAAGTGGCCCAGGAGCCCCCCCCACACACACACACACAGATGCACAGGCCTGCCTTCCTGACACCCTGCCTACAAAGCCGGGGCCGTCCTGGTGGGGCCAGTGGTGGGTGGCGGGCACAGGTGAGGGCTGCTCTGGGGAGGGCATTTTGGTTTTTTATTCCACCATGTGCTGTTTAGATGGAAGCCCCACAGAGGCAGGTCCTGGAACCACCCCGCCCCCACACCTGGACGCTGGCTCCAGTGGGGAACGTGCAGGTGGAGGTGGTGGTGGGTGCAGGGGTGCGGCTTAGCTGGCCCCGCAGGTGGGTCAGGGAGGCTCAACTTCGCCACTTTACTCAGACCCATGCACAGTCTTCCCATTTTACACTTTTTTAATAAACATAATTGCAATATTGGAGGCGGGCTGCGAGCCAGTCAGCCTCTGCGTCTGGCCTCCATCCCGTGTCTGTGCAGCTCTGCGTGTGCGTGTGCGTGTGCGTGTGAATATCACATCTATGTAACATACAAAGCCTTAAACTACATCACAGTGGTGCCGTCCGAGCTGGGGCGGGTGGTTCGGTGCTGTCTGAGCTTGGGTGGGCAGTTCGGTGCCATCTGAGCTGGGGCGGGTGGTTCGGTGCTGTCTGAGCTGGAGCGGGCGGTTTGGTGCCATCTGAGCTGGGGCGGGTGGTTTGTTTTCCAGTTTCTGTACTCATGTCCTTGTCTTCCCTCTTCCCCCATCTGCGGATGTGTGTGTGCTCCACACCTTGAAATAAACAGACACATATGTGTGTTCTCTTCTTGGGGCGCTTCTGGAAACGAGAGGAGGGCTTCCCAGGAAGACTCGAGGCCAGCGTGGAGCTGTGTTGAGCTGGGTGAGGGGCCCGGAGGGAGGAGGGCGCAGAGTTCTCAGGGAGCCGTGGGCGGCCAGCCCACCCTGTGGAGCCAATGCTGGGAGGCCAGGGTCCTGATGAGCCAGCTGAGGACACGGAGTGACAAGGTGCACAGGCTCTCCAGGCACCTCAGAGGCTGCTGGGGGCCATGCTGCCAATCACTGAAGGGGACCCCAGGCTGGACCTCCTGACCCGCTGCCCCTGCCTACCCCTTGCTTTGGTTCCACTGTGGCCACCACCCCTGGTACTCAGACACCAAGACCAGTGAGTGGGCCTGTCCAGGGTGCCCCTGAAGGAGGGGTGCAGAGGGAGACTGCAGCCCAACACTCACAGCAACCAGAGGACACAGGTGACAAGAGGGAGGGTGGCCAGGCAGCACCCAGGAGATGGGGGACACAAGGCTCCTCGGCTCACCACCTCCCTCTGCAACTCCCCACCTCAACCTCCAGGGTCCCAGGAGAGGATGGGCTGTGGCTGGGGTGGGGGGGGTCCTGACACTCAGTTCATCTGAGAAGCTGCATGTCCACCTCAGACAGAACTGCCGAAGCCACTTGTAGGATGCAGGGCTGCCTGGCTCCAGAGCCCCTGTGTGGAGGCCACACTCCATGGGGCAAGCATGAGCTCAGAGTGAGCCCTGGGCACAACAGCCTTCTGCATCTTGACATTGGGGCAGGCTGCTCCAGACACCTTGCCAGGGACACTCATCTTGTCTCCTGCACCCCAGGCCCATGCAGAGCAAAGGTGCTCAGCCAGATGGCCCTGCCCGGAGGCCACCTACCCAGGGGTCCGCCTCCCACCAGCTCCAGCTGACCGAAGGGCAGGCCATCCCCTAACATCCCAGCTCCTTCACACACCCAGGGGCAAGACTGGAATCCCCTCCAGAATTCTCCCTCTATGTTACCAGAACTGTTTATTTTTAAATTTGTTTTTGAGAAGGGTCTCACTCTGCCACCCAGGCTGGACTGCAGTGGTCTGATTACAGCTCTGCAGGCTTGGCCTCCTGAGCCCAATGATTCTCCTGCCTCAGCCTCCAGAGTAGCTGGGACTGCAGACACCCACCACCACGTCTAGCTCATTTTCTTTAGAGACAGGGGTCTCACTGTGTTGCCCAGGCTCATCTCAAACTCCTGACCCCAAGCGGTCCTCCTGCCTTGGCCTCCCAAAGTGCTGGGATTTCAGGTGTGAGCTATGGCTCCCAGCCCCTTGCTAAGAACTGTGTTAAATCAACATGGAGGAGAAAGCAACCTTCCCAGGAGGAAAAAACAGACTCCAGACCCTAGTGCGTCCCGAGTGGGGCATAATCCTAAGGGATAATTGAACAGGTGCCAAAGAGGTGCCTACGCGGGACTGCAGGGGGCACCTGCCAACAGCCATCGCCTGGCCTCAGCGTGCAGCTCTGCAGGGGTGGAAGGGAGGGCACCTGACCAGCGTTCCAGATGTTTAACGCGGTTCATTCTAGCCAGTGACACTCTTTGGAGCTCTTGGGGCAGAATTCATCAAACCAATGTGCCATCAAGGCTGTAAGGTTCAGAGGAAACCAAGTGTTCTGAAATGGAGAGCCAGGCTGCACTGCCCGTGCTGAGGAGAGGGTAGTCAGAGCCAGGCTGCACTGCCCGTGCTGAGGAGAGGGTAGTCAGAGCCAGGCTGCACTGCCCGTGCTGAGGAGAGGGTAGTCAGAGCTTGCGGCTTATCTAAGAAAACCCTCCCTGCTGCCGACCACGCGCGTTGGTATCTCGGTTGCCAGGCTTCCTGCCGATGCCAGACTGTGATGGATTTTATGCACCAGGAGTGCTGGATGCCAGCTTTGTGTCTGGCACTCTTCCTGTGTGCCGAGCTGCGCCTCTAATTGGAAGCAAAGCAGAAGCCGGCATAGCAGGCCGGCCGGGACCAGATGTGCTTACTGCGGCTTGTGATGACAAGGAGGCCCATAGTTTCTTTTTTTTCTTTTTTCTTTTTTCTTTTTTTTTTTTTTTTTTTTGAAACAGTTTCACTCTGTTGCCCAGGTTGGAGTGTAGAGGCATAATCTCGGCTCTTTGCAACCTCCACCTCCTGAATTCAAATGATTCTCCTGCCTCAGCCTCCCCAGTAGCTGGGATTACAGATGCACACCACCACACCAGCTAATTTTTGTATTTTTAGTAGAGACGGGGTTTCACCATGTTGGCCAGGATGGTCTCTAACTCCTGAGATCAAGTGATCCGCCAGCCTCGGCCTCCCAAAGTGCTGGGATTATAGGCATGAGCCACCGCGCCTGGCCAGGGCCCCCATATTTTCCAAATCTGTCTGTCTGGGATTTTGACTGCAGAGCTAGGTCCGCTGAAGCCCATTCTCAATCAGCTTGCACTTACATGGAGAGACTCGTGTGTGAGTTTATGGAGTATGATTTGAGTGAACTGCATAAAGTCTTCTGCACGCCTTAAGAGAGACATATCTGCAAGGCTGGACTTCACTACACAGAGTGTTTCCACTGGAATTGCTGGCAAAGACATGGGGCTCACCACCTGTGACGATGATGCTGCGTCTCCATTCCTGGGAAGTCCTGGGGAAAGCTTACAGAGGAAAGACTGGCCCGCCGGACCTGCCGATGCACCTGCAGAGAAGGCTGGTGACCTGGGGAACGTCCTGGGAAACCAGGATATATGTGCCTTGCCAGATGCCCAGAGTTAGGAGCACTCTGAATCTTATAACTGAAAATTGTATTATCCCCTTCCCAGGTTTTTGTTTTTGTTTTTGTTTCGGGGGCGGGGGGTATCTGTGTTGTGAACCAGCCTGAGGTGTAAACTTAAGTCCTTCTCAGGTCTTTTCTGAGTCTGCCTTTTCCCCTAAGGATGCAAATTTGTCAGAGGCGTGTGAACCAGAATGACTCCATCTTGAATAGGAGCTGGGTAAAGCGAGGCTGAGACCTACTGGGCTGCATTCCCAGATGGTTAAAGCATTCTAAGTCACAAGATGAGCTAGGCGGTCAGCACCAGACACAGGTCACAAGACCTTGCTGATAAAACACGTTGCAGGAGAAAAGCCAGCCCAAACCCACCAAAACCAGGATGGTCAGAAGAGTGGCCTCTGGTCATCCTCATTGCTACACTCTCACCAGTGCCATGACACAAACACCATGGCAACATCAGAGTTACCCTCTATAGTCTGAAAAGGGGAGGCATGAATCATCCACCCCTTGTTTAGCACATAACCAAGAAATAACCATAGACATGGGCAGCCAGCGGCCCTCGGGGCTGCTCTGTCTGTGGAATCGCCGTTCTTTCATCCCTTTACTTTCTGATCAACTTGCTTTCAATTCACTTTACGGACTCACCCTGAATTCTTTCTTGCATGAGATCCAAGAACCCTCTCCTGGGGTCTGGATTGGGACCCCTTTCTTGTGACATCTCTCTGGTGCCCAGTGAAGGGACTGTAGTGAGGAAACCCCTGACCCAAAGGCTAACTTTGGGTAAGTAGTGGGGTCCGGTAACATCTTTCTGGCAAATCCTAAAGGGACGAAACTAAGGAGAGCCCCCAAGCCAAAGGGAATAGACTGCAGCCCTGATTGGGCGACTCTGGGTAAGTGGTGGCGTGTTGGGTAGAGGATGGGATTGGGTTAGAGGCTCAGCTTAGGGGAGTGAGAGTCTCTCCTAAGACGGAGGGGGTTACAGGCCCCTCTTCATAAAAGGTAAGGATGCTTGCCTGGCCGTGGGTCAGAGGCCCAACTTAGAGTCCCTTCTAAGATGTAGGGAGTCAGAGGCCCCTCTCGGTTAAGTCCCTTCTGGCTAAGAATGGGTTTGGTGCTATGGGATGGTAACTGTTCTTCTCTTTGGAATAATCTGCCTTGCACTCTTTGGTGATGGCTATGGGTGACAGGATTAGGCATTTACAGGGTCGTGGGACATGAGGAGCTTTTCCTCCCTGAAAGGGGAAACTTGAGAACTCGCAGGACTGCTGGGAAAGACCCTTTGCTACCAACAAGCAGCCGCCTGAGCTTTTCGGTGCAACGGGTGGGTGTTCCTCTGGCCTCCCCGAGTGCCTTATCTTCTCCACCCTGCCTCAGTCAGTGCTTTCCTCTCTCTGTGCAAACAGGTTAAATAAATGGTAAACCCTCTGTAAAGTTTCAATTTGTGATAAGCTGCTTTTTGCCAGCTAAAACGAACTCTCAGACTGAAACCTGCTCAGGCTGCATGTCGGCTTCCTGAGCCGGACAGACTCCATCTTAGCTTCTGCATTTGAGTCATTGTCCCACCACTGAGTGTGTAGCGTCCAGCGCCCAGTGCCCAGCGCCCCCGTTATCTGTAAGTCGCACGTCTTTCATGACAGCTCTACCCCTCGTACCTGGCACTGTTTTATTTCTCATGTTCTAGTTTATCTTTTAACGTTTTGCTTACTCTGCGTTTGTGAAAAATTTGCTTCAGCTAGGTTCCCCCTCCCCTTTCAAACTAGGGTATAAAAGACCCCCTAACATTTTCTTAGGGGCCGAGAGGATTTGGGGCATCAGCCACCTCTCAGTCACCGGCATAATAAAGGACTCATAATTCAATCTCAGAGTGTGGTGCATTCCTTGACTCTCTCGGGTACAACAGATTAATGGGAAAAAAGGATTTGAGGCTAAGCTTAAGCCGTAGTGAATTTGGTGTGCTTTGCTTTCTGTGTCCCTCTCTGTGTTTACAGCGGAGAGGAGCACTTCAGGGTAGAATGTGGGCCTGGGGCACCTGTAAGCCTGCGATTCAACATGGCCCAGCAAACTGGTCAGTTACAAGCTTTGCTGCAGGTCCCTGAAGAAACCTGGATGAAGTTTTCCTCTTGTCTTTCATGTCCTTAGCAGCTTGACCTGTGACCACGTGGCCACGCTTTCTCATTTTACAACGGCAGCCCGGGTCCAGGGTTCAATTCCAAGCTTGGGGGTAACTCCTTTATCTTGTGTCTGTCTGTGTATTTATACGTGTTGTGTGTGTAATATGAAAGAGTTTCAG